ATATATATATATATATATATATATATGCATTACAATATAAAAATACCATATTTTGTTTCCAAAACTGCATTTCAAACACTACAATAATAAAACACCTGGTCATGATTACGGACTGTTTGCATGGTATCTTCAATTGTTTTTTCACACAACGTCTTTAATGACGAAAGAAAAAAGGATAAAGCTCGCTCCAGCAATTCACCATTATGAGCCACTGAACGCAAGGAATCACAATTTGAAGAACATTCTGTCTAAAAATGAGTACAATTTTCGTCATTTTTCAAGAAGCCTTTTAAAATCAAAGACAAAATCTGAAGGAATCATAATACTGAGATCTGACGAATATTTCATCTCTGAAGAAGATGAAATCTTATTATTATTACTAAGTAAACTGTTAGGTTTTACAAAGCACAGCTGAGGTGATCTCGAAAACATTAAATAACTTTTTTGCACATATGAAAAAGATAAAATTTGATTAGAATGAAAATTTTTCTGCCTAAAAAACTAAACTAACACTCAAATTCATTTCTTTCAATGAGAGCTGGTAGAGAGATTCAGCAAGATTTTTTTGTGCTTCATTCATCTGGTGAAAATTTGTTGCGAATGATTTTGACATTGTTAGTACCTACAAACATCCAAATCATTACTGCTATTGACTTTTATATTTAAAAAAAATAAGGAAAATTTAAAAAATCTTTGATCTCAATTCCAAGTGATTTGTACTTCTAAAATTTATTAAACAATTATTTTCGGTAGCACTGAAACTATCTATTCGATTTTTGCTACTCATGCTTGCTATAAATAAAAAGCATTTTAAGGAGTAAGACTAAACTTGTTAGGCTGGAGCCGGTTTAGCAAAATACACGAGAAACTACTCATGGGAACGAACCTGATTGTAGTGCTTGTGCAAAATTTTTAGTTGTTCAACCTGCTCTTCTAATTCTTTGTCAACTGTCCGCTCTACCTAAAGTAAGATAATAATAATAATAATAATAATAATAATAATAATAATAATAATAGAAGTGATAAAATGTATTTAGAGATGAAAGGCACTTATGGAAAAATAAGATTTAGATCACTGCAGTGAAAAAACTTCCAACCTTTCCCAAATTTTCACAAATGGACTGCTTTGTTGTTTTGTACGTTGATACTGTCCACTTTTTTAGTGAGTCTATTTTTGCTGCCATTTGCGCCAAATCCGGTCTAAAAAACATTTTTTTTAACAAGTTTTCGCATTAATATATAAAATGCATTATGAATTTGAATTGAAATTTGCAGCAAAATCAAAAGCTAGTAAGCAGGTAAGAAGAAATCTTATTTATATCATACAAACTTTTCAATTTAAATCTGTAAAACTTTCTCACATGCGAAAGTAATTCCACAATTTCATTCCTGAATTTTCAGAAACAGTGAAACGATGATAAGGATAGAATCAATTTAATGAAATATAGACAGCGATGACTGACTCTACCAGACCGCTTATGTAGAAAGTAATGCACTACTGTTTCAATGTAAAAGGCAAGATTGTGTGCAATTTATAATTTAGCATTAAAATTTACATGAAAAGAAACAAAACCGCTTACTTTTGAAACAAATAGCTTAAAAAATTTGGAAAATAAAAACAAAAAAAATAAGATAAATTATTCAATTATTTCTTCCAAAATTGGTGTCATATTAATTAAGTGAAAATTTTCTTGAAAAAAAATCACAAGAAAACCATGTATAATAACGAAAGGTGTGATCTTACGTGCTACAAGACGTATTTTTGCCAGATAAATAAGAATGTTGCATGTCATCTGAACCTGAAAATAAAACTAATCAAAACGTATTATTTTCTATAAACGATCATGAACATGAATTTTTCAAAGAATTCATATTCTATACCACTTTATAAAAAGAAATTAAGAGAGAAAGTAGGTAATAAATATCTTGTAATTTTAGAAGGAATATTTCCGGAAAAAATTAAATCTCCTCGGCTCTTAACAATTATTACTTCAGCCAACTTTCCAACTTTTTGGTAGAAAACTCTTATTGATACCGACTTTTTAATCAACATTTGGAGCGAATGACTGTGATTATTAACTAACCTGTGATAACTGAAGTGCTATCACTAGATCCAGGTACAAATATTGAATTACTTTCAGGCAGCATCTGAAATATCTATAATCTGATTATCATTTTGTCGCTACACAGTGCTCCATTGAATGTGACCGAAAAAGTTAAATATGAGGATGTCAAACTCATAGTTCATCAAACTGAGTTTGACATCCTCAGAGTTCTATCAAACTTTATGAGACATGAACCATCGTAAAACTAATAATCAACTCAAACTCGATTATACACAGCATACCACCTTCTCCACGCAAAAACCGTTCAAAATTAACCTATATATGAACTGCATCGATTTAGGATACAAATGTGTGAAAGACAAAGTCGTTTGCAAGCTAACTCGGTAGTCTTCTTCATTACTCCTAATCCAATTTCATACTAAAAACTTTTGTTCAGTTAATAAGAGGTAAAAGCAAGTTAACAGTTTCACTTAGCTAATCAAATTCCTTACGCACCACTAACATGTCTTATATTGACTATTTTAAAGAAATCATCTTTTCATTCATTCAATCTCACTGATAAATAACCAGTAAGAAATTATGCTCACACAACCAAAAAATCAAACTCACGCTAGCATACACATGTCAAGCAGCAAAAAATTCCAACCCACACAAATAACAAATATACTTGCTGCTCATTCTCTCCTGAAACTCAATCAATCTCATGAGTAACAATTACTACAACAAACACTTTAGATGACTAGTTCTAGCATTACATAAAAACCATAATAATACCGAACATTCCTCTGGAATGCTTATCCTGACCGCTTAGCTTACAACGCACGATGCAATACTATGGTAAATCTTCTAGTATCACAGATGTGAAACGATGTGCTTGCGCGAGAAAGTAACCAGTTATGCTGTTATAGTAAGAGGATCTCTAATAACTCCCAGCAAATTATTATGTCAAATCAAACAATTCCCAACACAACAAATGCAAATTGGAACACCCTTACTCCTCTCGCTCTGCACAACTACGTCTACCTCCTCATCCCAAAACATTGCTAGTTCTTCTGAAACTACCAGTTATCCTCTTCTCGCACTATGAAATTTGATGGTCACATTGTCCATTGAAAAAAATTTCCAACTCAGACCGGCTTAAAATCATTTTCACTTCTCAGCTTATGCCAACTTTCTTCATTAAAGAAATAGACCATCTGAATGTGACCATATTTTCGCAAGAAAACTTTGCATATCAAGTGAGGTAATTTATATATATAGTAATATACAATTTTTACACATCACAAACTTGAGGTACGAGGCATTTTATACAAAATCAACAATAAATACTGATTCTCGATTGGCTATAGACAACATACGAACAGTGAAATTTGCAAATTCTGCATGAGAATTCTGATTCTACAAAAAACTTTTCAAGGCAATGAAGTGATATATTAGATTTTCTACCACAAATTCAAAAACTTTTTATTAAGGAAATACTCCAGTTTCCCGTTTCCCTAACCTAATTAACCTTTGAATTCGTTAAAAGCATCAGTTCTACGCATTTGTAATGCCAAAGCAGCTTAAGCATATCATAAATACAAGGAACTACCATAATTTCCTAGACTTTTTAATTTTATAAATGTATTTGATGCATCAACATTCTTTGCCAAGAGCTTCAAAAAGCCCTTACTATTCAAGAATTCACATTGCAAATACCACTAGAAATGCTGCACCTGTTTCAGTCAAAGACTAATATCAAACAGCGTAAGAGCGAATCTTAAAAAAAGAATAAAGTATACAAAATATAGAAAAATATAATAGTAGAAGAAAGAAAACCTGGCCATCTGATAAAGATGATGATAAGTCCATGCACCATGTATTCTGATAATAAAAACAGACCTGATTAGCTCTAAAACTAACTGATCACTACATGCAGCGATACTTCTAATTTGTAATAGAAAGCAAAACTTCGTGATGAGAGAGATAATAAGGAAAACTTAAAACAACTCTGTCAAATTTTTATTTTCAACGATTGAGTGTAGCAAATCACAAAATGAATTGCCCACTTCCAACTGGCTTAACTTACAAACAAGAAATTGATAATTATTGAATAAAAAACATTTCTGACCATCTGTTGTGCTTTCTAAACTTGAGAAGTCATAGCTAATACCTCATATGATACAATATCAAATAGTACATCTGCCTTAACATAGATAAACCTTTGTTACCATGCAAGAAAACTTGTTAAATGCTCCGAACCATAAAGTCATTCCTTGATATCGAACTTTCGTTCACCAACAAAATAAATAACGTAGGCATAAATGACAGCGTAAATCCAAATAATTCAGAGCGATTTGAAACTCAGGGAACTTAAGGGACATATGAATGCAGATTGAATACTTTCACTCTTGAAAGATTTGCATAACTGATGCAAGAACAAGTAATAAGTGAAGAAGCACACGCAAGGAGCAATTAGAGAGGATGTACACGATGGTACCGACTAGAACATCGAATCTGAGACACTGAAGTCAGATATCAAATTTTTCACGAAACGACTCTTAAAACAATAACTCGACTCATAAAAAATAACAAAAAATATTAAAATAAACATACAACTTTTGAAACAAACTTATATGTACAATAATTTACAAGGAGAGCACAGAAATCGATTCCTGACAAATTTATAATCCCCACAAGTTGACAAGACTTATCAATTTCAAGAAATGATACAATTGCTTTGGTTTCGCTTCATATTTCCATTTGCAATTTCGATTTCACGCAATAAATAATCGAAGATTTTTTCGACGGACTATAAAATTACACAAATTTGACAACTTAATGACAAAACCTCAGCATCTTACTGATGCAGAATGAACTGAACCCTCAATTCGAATAAAATTTTTCTTTAACAGTTTGGTTTTGAAATAAGTGAATAAGATAAATCAGCTAAAAAAAATAGTTTCCAAGAAAAACAGAGCTAGATATATTTAAAGCGTACGGATATACATTATGTTATAATCTTACTGGCTTGCAGAGTGATTCATTAATATCTTTTATTATGTTATTGCTAACAATGAGCTGTAAAACCAGTGTTTAGGAATAAATCAAAAATACCGTATTATCTTTAGCCGATGTTTCTAAAAATGCAGCATTCCAAGAAAGAGCCAACTGCTGTCCTTCTGCAGTTGAAACACGACGAGAATGAAACTGCAGATCCAGTTTATTGCCCACGACCACAATAGGTATGCTAAAAATCAACAACTTTTATCTTAAGGAAATAGAATTATTGCTTCTTTACCTTTTATTGATGCAAAACATCTATATTCTTACTTCTTGTCGCCGATATTTTCCAGCAACTTGTCATAAATTGTATGTATTATCGTGAATCTGCAAAAACCAAATGCAGATGACTGATATTTGCAAAACTAATACGAATACTTGAAAGAAAAAATTTTAGTTCAACTCACGATTTTCGATCGTCTATGGCGTAAACCAAAATATATCCATCAATATCTATGGCACAACTGCGAGGGAACAACGAAAATTCTTGCTAGAAATTAATTTGAACCTTTTTAACAATCTGTGGCTGAGGCGAAATAATTTGTTTTGAACAAATAACATAAAAGTTTACTTGTCCTGCAGTATCAGTTATATGCAAAGCATACTGCTTTCCGTTAAACTTATGCTGTTTCATGTGTATGTCTTCAATTGTGGTATCATAAATGTCCGGAAAACTACCATACACAAATCGCAGGGTAATAGAAGATTTTCCTGAAGATTATAAAAAGCACATAAACATTAAACACAGTCTTGCTGAAAATGCGATTTTTTTCATTACAAAGAATTATAAGATGTTTTTTTCTAAAAATTCATAACGTTTCCATAACAGCTGCGGATTTCATTAGGCATATACAAAGAAAGCTCTATATTACATCAGAAAGTATATATTTTATGATAAGGTGTTAGTAATTCTTAATAACACAAGTTTCTGCGGGTTCATCACGTGAAAGGTTTCAGTTAGTGTTACAGTTTATTCAGCAATAATGCACTACATATAACTCAAGTGAACCAAATTCAGTAATCTTTATTAACGAAAAATTTATCATTTATTACACAGTAATTCCTACCACAAATCATACGAACTGGAAATATAAGAGGTACTAACCGACACACGGATAACCCATAACAGCAATTTTCCGTTTGATAACATTGGCCATCGAGTATCGTTAAAGTTTGTCAATAAATTCAATGCCGTATGAAATAATTTATCTAAATAATTTAAATTAAGATAAGGTTTAGCATAATAAACTTCAAATTTGTAACTTGACTTACGCAAGAAAGAAGTGGACAAGTGGACAGATTATTTAAAAAAAGTCATACATGAACAGACCCTTTCCTTCTATTACCATTACATATCATGCAATAACTGAAAGAGATTCATTCAGGAATAATAAATGATTGTAATATCTTTTTACAAATTTAATATATTGATTTCTATTTTCGAAAGTAACAACTCCCAGATGATGCAACATGTATCAACACTGTATTATACTGACCAAATTTACGCACTTGAGACTTTAATGTCAATAAGATTTGAATGAAATCACAATTAAAAGCTCATAAAATGTTACCACGTTCGCGCTTAAGAAGCATCCAACTGCAAATCTTGGATATCCGAAGGAATATACGGTCAGCAGTGCGAAAAGAAAGAAAATAAAACCTGCAAAATTAAACTATCAATATAATCTAAAAATCATACGTAAGCTACTAATGCTCTTGCAAAGAAAAGTCTTAAACTCTAACACACAATTTATGTGCTTCTGAATATATCTCCATCTGAAAAAAACAGAAAACAATACTCAATTCCTATAAATCAAAAAATAGCTAAGTAAACTCGAAACTTTTCCCACTACTAGTACATATTAAACACATGACGTCACATGATAAGATCAACCAAGAGTGCTTTCTTGACAATAGTGTTGCAAAATACTTTTAAATACCACCGGACCGATAGTATATAACTAAATGTAAAAGATTTTTGGAACTGTGTTATAGATGATACACTTGGGCTTGCATATAACTTCATTCTAGACTTGACAAATTTAAATAATTGAGGCTGTGACTAACTAACATGAAAATACGTAAACGTAGCAAATATTTCATGTAGAGAATATTTAGCATGGAGACTACGAAAGAACAGATGGTTAAGAATACGATGCTCACATATGTCTGACTTACTGTTCATAAATTAAGTCACGACTTGTCTTGAACACGGGCCAAGGAGTCTAGCGTACATACAAGTACTGAGTGGTAAACCTTTGCAAAAATAAGCGTATTAAGGGTGAAAACAACAGATTAATTGATATATGAACCAATTATATTAAATCATTGTTGCCAAATAAAATAAAATGGTAACAATAAGTAGTAATAACCATTTGAAATCTGAGACGTACAAATAGCCACTCAAAGTCAATGAGGTAAAAGGATGGAGTCGAGCAAAAATCTCGGGATTCATTCATGCAACTTCGCATGCAACTTTTTATGCAACAAAAAATTCTTTCTTGTAACGTACGCGTGCACTAGGATACGTGTGAGGTATTGGTCTTTTTTTACTGCTACTTTTACTATTGCTGTTCATTGAAGTTATTTTGTGTCAATTCATGGTGTGATAGGCCAGGCGTAAATTCTGTTAATTGTAGCAAATATTTGTACAGTGTCAAATCGTGACTGTATTTGACATGATTGAGTTACAAAAGGATATTAGTGGTAGCATGATAAACATTATCATGCTGTTGCTGGAAGATTTTTTTTCACGTTCATTCAGAAACCTTCCAATTTGCAAGCATCTTAATCGCTATGCAACATTTTGAAAATTCATTTATGAAATTATCCTCCGTAATGCACAGATAAATCGCGTAAAAATAAAACAGATTACATTATTTACACTGTAATTATAGCATACACCAAAGAAGACAGAATAGCATGAATTAGGTCTTTGGAAAGTAAAATATATTAAATGTTTTACGCAAATTTTCAAAAATAATTTTTTTATTACAAGGGAATAATTCACGTTTGAAACTAAATTTTGGATATTAATTTTTCAAAAATGTGAAAATGCGGTTAGTCGTTAGTTTAGTCAGCACTTTTTGCCTTAAATTTCTTCAGATAAACAAGTTCTCTGCGTACTCCAAGGTGTGAATTTTCGCGCTAATTCATGATCAATATTTACATATGATTCTAGAATTTAAGAATACAAATTTTGAATGATTTTTTAAAAGTTATTAGAAGCTTTGCCAGTGTAAACGTTTCTGTTCGTTCTGACCGCATGGATTACATTTCGATACTTTGCAAATTTGAGAAAACAGATCATCATCAAAATATACAATATGAAGCGATTTGTGTAAAGTAAGTCAGAAAGTGAAGTGGAGATTCGCTTGCACTTGCATCAAGTTCATAATGAATACTACTCATTCAGTAAGTAGATAGATATGGAATGGAAAATTTGTCAGTGCCAAAATTTTTGGGGTAATTAGCAGCTGTCCGAAAGCAAGTGACCCTTTGATATTAACAAGTACAATTTATTTCTTGGCTTTAAAATATTGCAAAGATTTACCCACAAAGCGGAATTTGGCTATTCATTTTAATTCCATTCTTCTGTAGTTTTTGCGTCTAAAGGATATTTATTTACTCTATGAGCTGAACATTTTTATCAGTAATTACGACAGCATTAAATTATAATTTTGGTTGCAATGTATGCCAGTGAACAGCGGGCCTATTTGTGCTCATCATTTCTAGCCATTGTTGCTGTCCAGCAATTCCAACGGAAGAATTGTTCAGTGTTGCGGACGCAAGTCTTACTTCACCGATAAAATCGTTCTTACTCATTATGTCATAGTCCCAAACACTGATAACTAAATGTACTTTCTGAAATAATCATGTTTCAGTTAGCAATTTGTCTGAATCACAAATTCAACCAAAAATCGTACTCACTTCTAGGAGTCCATGTTCCACTTTGAACTGAAAACTTTCATTGTAATATGGATTCAACGTTTTGTACTTTCGAGTAGTCTTCTTTTTTGACAACAATTTTCGGCCATTGAACAAATGCAATTTAACAAATGGATCTGAATATTGCATAAGCTATACTTGAGTTGAATTTTTAGAAATTGTTACAAATGATCAAAACTACCTGAAGAACCGGTTACATCCATTTTCTTTAGATTCCTAGCCTCCATTATAGTAACTGTCATAATCGCTGTGGCTGGTCGATATCGTAACGAGAAGCAAACATCGCCTAGTCGTGAATCCTAAATTAAATTCACACAAAATAGTTCTGTTATCCAACTGGTCAAAATAAATTTCGCCCTATTTCCTTATATTACTCAATGTATTTATTTATTCAACAACTATGAAAATAGAATGCCATAAACACTCGACCAGATCAACTTCTTCTTCAGGAGGATTCAATCGAGACCACTGTTCTACTGTAACACCGAAATCGACTTTTTCTAGTGGAATCGATAATTGTCCGATGCGATCATCTTTTCTCAGTCGATCAAAATCATAAACTATCAATTGGAGGGTTTTGCACTGAAGTTCTGTATATGCTACCTGAAAACGAAAATGGTGCTCAAAATGCAATAAACTGAAAAATCATTCGTGCAATATCTTCCAAACTTATACGAGTTTTCATAATGGAAGGCAGGAATAAAATTGAAAATATACTAATACTAACATTGAAAGCAAAAGTCTCGTTGAAAATTGGATTCAGATCTTTTCTCTTAATTTTTGTCTCGAACTTTTGTTTTCCTTCGGGCAATAAATATAACTTTACGTATGGATCTGACATTCCATTCCGATCCATAGCTGGCAACTCTTTGCATTCCAAAATCGTCACTGATAACTGTAAATATCAGTTATTAATAGCTGTTTTTATCTGTTAAATTATAAAAGTTATCGGAAACAGAAGCAACATTTGCGTCGACAAGTAAACCATTGCAGTCACCTTGATGCGTGCGCTTACTTTCGCTTGTTTTCAAAGTAATGCTTGCTATGCTTATATTACACTTGACTAGCTTTCTACCTTAAATTTAGTGTTACTTTTATTTTCGATTATAAAAATTTACAAAACATGATAACTTTGCTAGGAAACGATTGCAATTGTACAAATGACTTGTTAGTCTCAGTGCTAGCTGAGCTTATTTTGGATAATACCTTTCCAATTTTTAGTAGTAAGTTTATAATAAAGGATAAACCTTATTATTTCCAAAATCATAGTCTAATTTGTAACGAACATGACCAAAATTGATCAAATCGTCAAGTTTTTCTAATGATGTGCTTGACGGTGTAGAGGTATCACGTAAAGCACTTGACGCTGTATCCATGAGAACCGTTTGCGTCGGGATACACTTGAATGTTTTAAATATTAATCAGGACTTACCAAGTTTATAACACTAAAATCAGAAATAATAGCAATACAATTATTTAATAGCAATAACAATAAAGTAGTTGGTAGAGAATTTCAAGAGCATAAACATTTATTTATTTGCCATAACTGCATTAATAGCTGACTAAGAAACTTCTTAGTTAATCTTAAGAATATGTAAATTTAGATTGCAAGATTATGTATACTAAGAAAACTAACAGTGTGTTGTTTTTGCTTTCTGAAGCAAAGTGTAAAGATACGAAATATTGGAGAGCACGCCACTAAGGAACTTGCTAACATTGTGGAATGGTTAATTCTTCATCACGTGTCAATACAAACAGCCTTCACGTATACGCGTACAAAACTCTTAATCATAAGCTAGTTTTACATGGGTTCTACTTTTTTCAACTTTGATTGCATAGAAAATTATAAAATTTGTGGAAAAAATTCAAATATATTTATTACAGTTTTTGCAGTAAATCATGCAGTAAAGGATAAAAAATCAGCAATAAAGGTTAAACAAACTTTTTTCACCTTCAAAATTTGTATTTGATGGTATTCAATCACTCGTCAAAAGACCTAGCTTTACGTTTGATCGGATTTTCAGTTATTTCGGCGAGACCTCAAGTCAACTGATCAAACAGTAAAAGTAATGTAGATGAGAAGTGATTAAACGATACAAATAATATCAATCAAAATTTCTTCTGAAGCTATTCAATTATTTCTTTCATTTCATATTTAATATCAAAAATACAAGATTATGCATGCCATATCATAATTATGAGTTTCGAATTAAATAAAGTAAGAATATATATTGGTGTGATAATGAATCTAATAAAAATTAGCAAATAACTTCCATCAAAGACAAGATAAAAGCATTTCTTGACTGAGATCATTATTTATTACTTAAATCAAGGGAAACAGTGATGTTCTTACGTAAATTTATCATTAATAATAATAATAATAATAATAACAATAATAATAATAGATGGATGGCATCAGCGTGAAGTCTGAGACGAAGCTATTTTGGATCCCTGTACTGAAATGAGTGCAACAGAAATTACTTCATTAATTTTTGAGCATGATTACTTTAAAATTAATGAAGTAATTTATTTTCAGAGAAATACTACATCTTTATCCTCCTCAATGCGTTGACTAAAGTAATTAGGAAACACTGAAAGATGATAAGCTTTGTTTGTTAGTTTTCATGGCAAGAAATGGGAATTAGTCCGAAGAGGAAACAAAGACGTGAAAATAAAAGTTAGTAAAGTAATTTTCGAAAATTGTTGTTCTCGGTAATGAAGTTACTTCAGATGCCATGCATTATGCATTTGATGGAAGCTTTGTAAGCAAATTCTCAGGCAGTTTTGCTTTGAATTACTTATAATATTTGAGTAGTTATTACTTACATGACATTTTTACTGTTAATGAATTAGGACAAAATGTTAAATAAGTAACAGTGCAGTAAGTCAAACTAGTAAGTATAATAAAGCACATGTTAAAGCGACAATGTGAAACAATGAAAAGCTCAACCGAAAGCCAAGAAATCAGAAAATTCTTGATTTGAGAATCAACTGTTCCGATGATTTCTAGGAATTATTATAAATTTTTATAAGAAAGCACTGCGACCAAGCAAATCTGAAAGACAAGTAACATAAATTTCGTCTTTTCATAATTCGAAAACTGAAAAGTATCGAAATAGTTACGAAAATTGATGTGTTCTATCTAGGTATATTTAATAATTTGATAAGAATCAGTAAACTGATCAAAAGCAGAAATAGTCAGTCACTGTTTCAAATGAAGTGCAAGAATTCATTGCATAATTACAGTTTTCCAAAAAAAGCTATAATTATTGGCCTGAAATAGCTGTTATCAAGGTTAATAATGGGTACAGATGAGTTAGAATTGTAGAGATTCCTGAAAAATAAGCCAATAAAAAAGAGCAGAAAATGCAGTTTCCATTCAATCTTATATTAAAATCTTCATCGCAAAAGCATGAATATTTGAAGGGATTAATTTATATCTCAAAGTATCTTAAGGGTCAGCTTAGCAAACTGAATTTTTTGCAAGCAAATTGGCGAGCACATCAAAGATTATAAAATATAGTTTGTAATAAAATATTTACAAAAGTGTATGGTACTGAGACTAGAGGGAAGATTCAGTGAGTATTTTTAAGGATTTGTTGTTTGTTTTATGGTGCTGATGAGGTGAGCTTCCATAGAGAAGAAAATGAGATGATTCGGAGGTTGCTAAGTGATTCGCAGGTTTTTTCCCATTAAATGATGAATTATTTTTTGATATAAAACATATTGTTGAAAAGTATTAGCGTATTAAATGAGCAGGACAAATTATTAATTTTCATGTGAGTTGAAAGTATTGATGGCACTTTCAGGGCTGCAGATGAAATTTGAAAATATGACTTAGACGTGAATTTCGTTTTTCTTATGATAAAATGCAAATACCTAAAATTATACTCGTCAAAGTATGAATTCTCACGGGCGATTAACGTGAAAATAATATCGGTATTTTCTGGGAAAAAGTGTTATTAGCTTTAGAATTAGTCGTCAGGATGAACGACTGATAGTAAGTATTCTATAACAGAATTAATTCACTAAAACACTAAGAAAGACTTTACAGTTTTATGTTTGCTCAGTCCATAAACTGTAAACTATCTCTAATGCTTAACTAGGCGGAATTTCCTTGAAAACATATCTAAAGTCTTAAGAATAGAAGAAACTTGCGAACACAAAAAACATATCATAATTATTATCAAATGCGAAATGGAAAAACGTGTGACTTAAGTTTGATGAAGTAAGTTAATCCAAGACAGGAATAATTATTACGAAAAGGACAAGGAAGATTATCTTCGGATTCATCCACAGCAGACAATATCAAATAATTAAAAAAGAGATTATCTAAATAAAGATGCGTACAAATGTTGACACTGAAACTACACATTAGGGATTGTAATTCTCGAAAATATGCTTTAATTACCAATGCTCATGTTAAAAATACAACAGTAATAATGCAATAACTGTAGTAATAATGATAATAAAATAGTAATAATAATAGTAATAATAATAATAACAATAATGATAATAAAATATTATTAGATATTATAAGAATAAACAATGCGTGTGTTTTTTAGCCTAATTTTCTACTGAATGTTGTTTTTTTGTCTAGCGACCTACAAACTTTAAGAAATATAATTCTGTGTTTCCTCAGCACTTCAAAAAGATATTTCAAGTATTACAGTTTTATTGCAATTTGATACAGTAATATTATTTGAAATGCAAGCATTAAAAAATACAATTCGATAATAAATTTTAAAAAAGCAAAACATAAAATAAATAAAATTGCTGTCATAAAAGCATTCCTGTTAGTTAAGTGAGCCAAAGAATGTGTCTTCGACGACTGCTTTAGACTTAACTGCATTTTTGTTAAAAAAATAAATGTAAGACTAATTTCGGACTGAGTACTAACTGCAAGTGCACTGAGCAGCTGAATATCGAAGGTGGCATTTGGTGTTTATTCAACAAATGACCAAGTATTAATTGCAAATTGGAAAAGTTTTGAACTTAATTTAGATTGAATATTTATTTGATTTTTCCCTTTTTGTCACTCCAAAAAACCACAAATTCACCTAAAAATTTCACTTTAGACTTTTTATTTGAGACAAATTAGATGGAAAGAGATGAAAGTTTTGAGCATAAATAAACAAATTAGTTTTAAAACAGTTAAACGCAACTTGATTAGATTAATTGATTACGGGCAACTTAATTAGATTAATTGATCATGTGCAGCATTGGTGTATTGCCAATTTATCAGATTGGAAAAAAGCAGTAATACAACTAAGATGTTTGGAGGGGCTCATTCCGCTAAAAGCTTTTCATTTTCTAGAACTAATTAATTTTACAGCGTATAATATTTGCTTTTTTCCGTAATAATCTTTTTAAAGTTTCAGTTGTTAAGTGTCATGCATGCATCAGCGCTGCTAATGCTAACTTTCAAAAATACAATAATAATGCAATTTCTTATTATTGTTTTTTCCAAGAAACTAATTATTGAAAAAAGTTTGACAAATTAATATCATTCTAAACTTTGTAAAAAAGCATGCTTATATCAAGTTTAGTTATTAATAATTATAGCTTTGAGAATCCAAGACAGAAATTACTTTTTGGGAAAAGTAATAAATTCGGAATATTTCTACCTCCCAAAAAATAATCTAACTTCAAGCACAGCAAACAGAAATAGGCTGACTGATTCGAATGCAAACAAAGGAATTTGTCAGATTTATTTTGAAGCAACTTTGTGATGTCAGCTGATGGTTTATTTATGGCAAAAAAGGCAACCATCGAGAAGCAAAAACTTTTCTGAAATAATTTTGATTGAAAAGTTTTTTTAATAAGTAAGTAAGATTTGAAAACTAAAAATCGTTATCTTTATCATTATCACTATTAATTAATACGATTATATATGTGTAATTTGTTCATTTATTTTTTGCATATTTATGACAGTGCTGGCTTTGTTTGATAGGACTGAAAGATAATGATTACTGTTGACAGCGCAATTACTTTGCCACAAAAGGATTCGATGTGATAGGCTGAACTGAAATCGAGAAATGTATTTAATTTTGTTACTTATAGCTTCATTGGTGCTTTAATTAATTAACTCATTCATTTCAGTAGAGTATAACAAAAATGAATTTGAAAACTTTTCTTAGAATTAATTAGTTTTTACCTATGCTTTTCGCAAGTAAAACTCATAAAAAGGGACGTGAGACGTGAACTCCTTGCAGATATTTAATAGCTAAGGATGAACGTCCATGTCCATGTAATTTTTGCTGTTATCACTTCAAATCGAAATGTTTCATGCATTTCTGAGCTTTTTGCACACGCATGCATTCGTAATTGTTTTTTGCGTTCATTTTATGCGTTGTTCAGTAGAATTTACGACAAAAAAATACTTTTAAAGTTTAAATGCGACTATTTTATTTTTGCATATCATTTAGCTTAGCTTTTGCAAAGAAAAAGTTTATTACTGAACTTGCCGATGAAAGAATTTCTCTTTGATAATTATTATTTGTAGTGAAATAAAAAACTACTTTGATAATTAATTGTAAAAAGGTGGACAAAATGACGAAAACAATTAATTAATATCGAAGATTCGTTTTGTTCCTTCAGAATTGCTTTACTACAATAATTAATTAACCAGTTACTGTGTACTAAATGCATTGTGTACATTAACTCAATAACTACATATATTTTTTGTATTTATTATGACTTTCCAACTAAACAAATCCAGAAAATGAGCAAAATGTTGACAAATATGTGAAGAATAATTGCAAAGGATTTCATAGTTCATAGGTCTCTAAATCAAATATTAAAATTTAGATGTATGTAAATCACATCTAAGGAAGACAAAAACAATGAAAAGGCACAGCAAGAAAGAAAACGCTTCAGAGGATGAATTACAAGGGCTTGCGTATTCTTAACTCAAAAATACAGAGCTGAAATTTAATTTTAATTTGAGATTAAAATTAATGCCACCTCCAAGACTCACAGATCAAAGTTGAATTAATTCTTTCTGAACTGAAGTGCAATAATTATTGAGTATTTCGACTGCATGCAAGAGATAAATGTAGTGCTGAGATGAATTTGTAGAAGAACGATGAGAAGAGTACGAAGGATTCACAACTGCACATAATGCTTTCAGTCTTTGCAGTTTGCTGCAGTGATTTTCAGTTTATGACTGCAGTAACTGATCTTCGTACTGCTTCATGAAACACTCGCCAACAGGAAAGAATTCCCAGTCACGATTATCATATTTTTCCCTCACGTACGTTTCTTGTCCCGTATATTCTGTTTCATCTTTATTCACGAGATGTTGAAGGAAGAAGCTAAAATATCAATACAATTTCACTGCCTGATTTGTGTTATTTGCTAAAATTTATCAGGAATTATTGATGAGATAATTATACTGATTTTATTAGTTGATTAATTTGGTAAACGTTATCTCTCTGCATTATGGATAAACTTTTCAGTACTTTTTTTCGACTTTACCATCTGAATTAATGCTGTTCCGTAAGCTATGTATTCATTAATATGCAAAAATATTCATTAATAAGTTGGTTTAAAGGCATGAACTATCATCAATACATGACTTTATGTTTTTGCATTGTGAAAACTTACAGATAATTTGCAAAATTGTGTTCCTTGGAAGTATGAATTTCAAATCCACGAGGCAAACGATCAAATGTTTCTTTACCGATATCACAAATAAAACACGACGATTCCAACTTTTCTGTTGCAGATTCTTGCTGATCTCTCAATTCACCAAATGCATCGATAATCAAACCTAAAATATACCTTTAATAATATTCTAACAATCAGTAATATCGCAAGTATTTACTTATAACAAATACAACAGCTAACCTTGCATAATAGCAAGTAGAATTACAATGACAAAGAAGAAGAAGGAAATATCATAAAGCATTCGCCAGTATTCTAAATCATCGCCATAAGGTGACTCTAATTCATCGCCAATACCTCCCCCTGCTCGTACGCCAGCGTAGAAATGATAGATGAAACACTGAAATTAGCTTATATGCTTACAGCTGCATCACTAATTATTAGTATATTAACTTATCATTTATACGTAATGGATTAACCAACATTATTATATTTATTTCATTACTATTTCAGCTGATTAACGTTAATTATTTTCGGCCAAAACAACTTTCTACAAATGCAGTCCACTCTCAGATCAAAATTAAGTTTTGCATCTTGTGCAAATTTGGTTTATTTTTCGGAACCTTCTTTGTTTCTTAAATGATACCCAAAGAAACATACTATATTATGCTCAGAATATTATTTTCTTAATTGTATTTCTTATTAAGCACTAACCGTCAGCATGTTATGACATTTTCGGTCAGGTTCTTCACCTTCCTCAGCTTCTTGCACGTAAAACTTACGGAAAAAGTTGAATGCCAGCACAGTGTACAAATATACAACCACCAAAGTCATCATAATTGTCAAAATCAGCTGCAATAATTTGAATCAGAAAACGATATCCTATTTCAGTAATGGTTGCTACAATATACGTAATTTTATTTTCAAAAAAAGACCTTTTTTGGATAAAGTAATTACCTTGAGTAAAAAGTAAAAATTTAAGCTTGAATATTCTTCAAATTATTACTACTTTTGTTAGCCTTTCTGTTTCATATGACCCTTTCTTGCATGAGGTAACGACAAGTTATTACCTGCTGTAAATTATGTGTGACTGACTGCAAAATGGCTTTCAACATGGGGAAAGAAAGAACTACATCAATTAAATGAAATGCATAGAAGAATGGAGAGACAAAAACACCCAGAGCTGAGCACAGTAAATAGTGGACACGGTATAGAAATTGTCCGTTTGTCAGTATGACCCCAAGCCAGAGCCAGCAAGTATACCTTAAGAAGGTCTGTTATTTTATTTTAAGGCAAAACTTGTACATGAAATAAGCTAGATTATTTTCGCGGATATATTCTTCCAACAAGAATAAGTATCACAATAATTTGCAGGTTACATAAACCAAATTGCAAGATCAGCCTAACCTGTAATCGAAGGTAGTATCAGTAGCGGGTTTATCTTCACCTAAAGCAGTAGTCAGAATCTCCTCATCAACTTGATCACGGAACTTCTGTTTTGTTTTTCGACGAACGAATTTATCCCAATATTTCATAGGAAATGATTTTGAACTAATCACAATGCGATCAATATACCTAAAATAAATATTTTAATTGAAGTCTGCGATCATTTTTTCACATGAACCATATGATAAGAGAAAGAATTTTACCAGAAAATAGTGTCCGTTAAGCTTCTTTCTTCATCATCTTCTTCAGTAAGCCAGCAACCGTCGAACATCAATCGACGGGCAACTTCCTTCTCCCGCTTAAACGTTATCAGTGGAATCTAAAATTTGAAATTCTGATAGAATATGCGCAATCCACACATTACAAAGTAGCAGTTTAAAAATTATAAGAATGCGTGGCCAATTCTGATCAAAACTAGCCAGTGTTTCAATTTGCATGGCATGGAATTTTCTCCAATTACACGAAAAAGAAATTGAAAGTTAAAAGAACAACCTTTAGCTGATAAAACGACACCAGCAACGCAAATGAAGCGACGGCATGGAAAACGCTTATCCAATAAAGCAACTGAAGAACTTTTCTAATACAAACGTAGTACTTCGTTGTCTTTTAATGACTGAGTTCAAGTGATAAACTGATTCAACAAAAAATCATCTTCTGACTTATTTCCAAATAAATTACTTTATTTTCACTAAAGCCATAGAATAAATAAAGAGATTTTAATATGAGACAGTATTAGTTAAATTAACTGTGAACTCTATCCTAAAAATAGTCCTATCCGTAAAAAGCGAGCTTTGACCTGTGTTAACATCCATCCGGTCACTTCATAGGAAGTATATGGAAGCATCATTCCAGTGATAAAAACTGACTCCATATCATCATCATTATCATCTCCCTCATCACTTTCTACAAAAGCTTTTTAACAACCAATATCAGTAATTACTAATGATGGGCTGATACATATTTGTTTTAAGCACAGAGTAAAAATAATTATTACTAACCTTGCGGTTCCGACGAAATATGCATAATTCGCACCCGGTGGAAAAGTAAGATAACGTTAATGAAGAAGGCTAAATATAGCGTAGTTTTCTCGATTGTTTTGAAGTTTCGCGCCAACATATTCTAAAATTTCAGCAATATTTCATGCAATAACAGTTTTCTCCATAATTCACGACTGAGACATAAGTTAAATGCTTTTGAACAAAATTAACATAATTCACAAACAAACGTACAAGTAGAGATCGGCGGTTACGTGGTGCACTTTGTTCAGCAATTTTCGGCTCATAAAATTCAGCTGTATCAAATTCAGATATTACGGGTGTAGCAGCTTGTTCACAGTACGCTGAACCGACTACACTTTGCGTTTCATAGAAGCTAAAATTTAACAAAAACAAAGTTACTGTACTTGTTATACTTTTTAAAAACTACTAATAACTAAATGATAATTGCTAAAAACTACAACATATCTAACAACTGTTACCTCGATGCTGTTTGTTGCTGCGCAGTTTGAGGTGTTTTAAAAGCGCTTTCCGTTTGCTGTACAGAAATTGGCGAGTTTGTACCTAAATTTCTCTTAATTAAATCATCTGAACCTTGCAAACAGTTTCATATCATAACTCCCATAATCCATTACAGTTAACTGAGAGAAAATTCTTTCTGAAAATATTATTTCTAAAAAAGAAAAATATCTTCACAGATCATTTAGTAGATGATGAGCAAACAAGGAAAAATTAGAGTGAAAGACTAGTTGGGTGGAAACAAAATAGTTCATTGTATGGACTTATTTCCTTATTTAAATTTATATGAAATCTGTACTTATATTAAAAATATTTATATTTCAATTTGTATTTAAAATGGTTATATTGAAATTTATAAGAAATTTATATGAAATCATTTGTGAAAATTAATCATGATTGTAGCAGGAAAAAATGACTTCAGGTAGAAAATGTGTGAATAAAAAAATGAACAAGCAAGTAAACAATGTATATGTGATATTTGTATCGTTTGCACATAAATGATACTGAATAATTAATTATTCAATAATTTCAACAAACCTTCAGTCTTTGTCAAAGTTGATAACGTTGGTGGTGTTGGTTGCGGGTCAGAGGAAGGCAACCTCACGCCAAATACATCATAATTGGTAGAACGGTGCTGCTGAAGAACAGGCGGCCATACTGGAGTGGTATATTGAGGAGAAACGCTGCAAATTTAAGGAACTTAAGGACTTTGAAAAAATCTTGCAGTGAAATTGGGTAAAGTTTTATCAATTATTTAAATCTAAATGAGTACGTGCCTTTCAGGCATTGGTAGCGCAGCTTGCTCCATTTCTGACTCATCACGTTCTGGCGTCATCAAATAATATCCAAAACGGAACAGCGTGCACAATACCATATATAAGAAAAGAGCTAATTTCATGGATACTTTTGTAGATAAAGCAATGATTGCAAATGTCATTTGCGCCCAGGTCAATGATCTGCAAGAATCCAATGAACTTTACAAAATTATTTATTACAGCTTCTACAAATATACTCAAATGAAGTACACTACTCTTATTTATTTAGACAGAACATATTTCAAAAAAATTCGAAAAAGATCTTGTCATGAATGATTTTATCCAAAAGGAGACATCACTAGGACTGACTAAAATGCAAATATGCATTACTTGAGAGAAGTAGCTGCCGTGCTTAAAGTTCTTTTTACATTTGAAGGTTTTAAGGCATTTGCTGCATTCACACCATAATCCAGTCCTGTTTTAAAAGTAGCTGAAATCTTTCTGAAAGAAAGTTGCAAGTTAAATAAGTCTAATTCGGATGTGAGGGAAAAAATAATCTGTGAAAAAACTTTCAACATTTCCGCTCTTCAAATTCTCATCTAAAGCAACGAAATTAATATCCAAAGCATCTATGAGGTCATTTAATCTAATATGATTTAAAAAAAGCTTTGAATTAAATAAGAAGAAAAAAGTTAACTTCGAATTATTACTTACGCGCCAGCTGATGTTTGCTGCAAGAAATAATCACGCTGCTTTTTAGCCCGTTCAATTTTAGAATCTGCTGCATCTCCAGCGCTGATTTCTGCTGCATGTTGCATCTAAATATGGTATTATAATGCTGTAATAGACAAGAATAGCTAGTTAAAGAAAGTTCCATAGCTATTCCAAAATGTTCTAAGGGATGAAATTAGGAGCAGTGAGAGTTTTCAAGAATGTAACCTCAAAAATGGTGTCTTCGCAGAAATTAATGAATGCTTCAAGCTTCCCCTGATCTCCGCCATCATCTTGTAGCACGTTAAACAGAAATGAATTCTTGGAATCTCTGAACTATGGCCTATTACACATAAATATTTTTGTAGCATATCACTGTATCAAAGAAACTGTATCAGTTTCTTTTTTCTGTCGAAATTTATCCAAATTATGACTTATTATTCCGATGACAAGTTATAATTCAAATTCAAAGTTAGAGAGTCTCATAGAATTATTTAAAAGAAAAACCTGAATGAATTCAATGCTAATTTTCAAAGCTATAGTTAGCTTTTAAAATTATGAACTTAAAAAAATTATTCGACACTTTCCGTCTATTAGTTTTTCAAACAAACATCACTACAAATCATTTTGTGCTTATTACTATAAATTGATTTCAATTTTGAATTTGAAGTCCCTGTTAAAATCAAGAAGGACTAGCCTGATTTGCTGTTTGCTCCACTGCTCAAGCCAAGATTCCTGAATCTCAAAGTAGATCTTTTCTACTCTCTTACTCGAGCCCATAATCTCGATTCGACCCAAATAAGGATCAAAATATTCTAGCAAACTGCTGGCTTGCTTGACAATCTTCTCCAATCGCGGATCATTCGTAATATGTTCTTTCAAATTTGTAAGTAGTACAGCTACGTTGAAACCTGTTACGTTATCAGTACGATACTAATGTGGTACTAGCAATATACAAATGAAATATAGATCAAAAAATTTCTTAATAATTCTAAAAACCAACCAGGCTAAGTTGGAAACTGAATTAGAGCACCCTTTCCAGTTACCCAAATAAGCTAAACTCAAACACTTCAAGAACTGGAAAGTCAAAATTTGATATTTCCATCGAGGAAATATTTTTCAAATTCAGTAACATACAACAGTAAATGTATATCACAAACCAATATCTCGAGCAGGATTGTGGAAGCGCTCAGTGAACTCCATATAATCCACTTTACCGTCATTATTGACATCCGTGCACATCATTAAATACGTTATTTCTTCACTGAAATTGAAAATGTTCATGCAATTAATAGCCTTTTGAATAAGCCAGTTTACCAAATTGGTCGCATTAAGTTTCCAAAATATCTAGCTCGTTTCAGACTGCTTCTGATCCAGAATTTGTTATCCGCTAACTTTTAAAATTATACACAAAGACTAAATAATCCCCAAAACATTAAGCCTTAATCACGCATAAAAGAACTGAAAATAGTGGTAAAATTAGATTTGTAGCAAAGGGGGCGAAAATTTATTCCATTACTCTTACAATAAGTTTAGTCAACAAATAATTCAGAATGTATGCTTCAGTTGAGCTAATTTTTGTCCTTAAGTCGTTATAAAACTGACACAGTGTACATCTTTTGGCTTTCCATAGCACGTTGGAACTCTTTAGGTGATATCCAACCATCTCTATTAGTATCAAAATCTTGAAATGCCTGCGAAGTCGTCAAGTCTTTCAGTTTCAGAAACATATCTGAGAACTTTAGAATCATTTCTACATTTTGTTCGCTTTCAACCAACGCATCAACCATCTGCTTACCAATTGGTCCATTGAGTACATTTCCTGCAAAATTCTCAAATTATCACATTATTAAATTCAAGCAATATTTGAATGTTATCCAGCAAATATTAAAGATTTTGTCATTACAACAGTTAAATTATTTTTCTTTTCAACATATGGAATGTAACCAAAGCCTTCAGAATTCAAAATGCAAAACACTACAAAATTTACTTGAACAATGTAAACCTGATGTCATTTGTCAAATATTAGTCGTAGCCTTCACATAAAATAAAATATTACTTATTAATTGATTGAATATTGTTTGGGGAGAAGTAAATAAACACAACACATCCATATTTGTTGTTAAAGCAAAACAAAAAGAGTTATACCTTCAAGCATTGATAACATCAGCACTATCATATCCTTCTGCAAATTTAAAAATTCTCTCAGTAGCTCCAATTGAGTACTGTTTTTATACAGTTTCTCCATCATATGTGCGAAAAGAAAAAAGAATCCGTTAATTGCATCCCATAAACGCGAATTGGCGAGGGTCATCTGATTTCCCGTGCAAGGACCCTATATTAAAATGTAATTTTCAAAAAATTAGAAAAACTTGTTTGACTATGCATTTTTGTGAAATACTTAATCATGAGGACATCTTGAATAACTTGCAAGGAATCAGAAATCAGTAAAATGAAGTCAATGTCAAAGATACCTGAATACTTTCAGTAAGTGTGTTGAACACTTGACTACACACTTGAATAGCTCGCAAAAAGTACTCTTTGCCACCTTCATCAATAACTTCTTTACTCGAATAGTGCCAATAAAAATCCATCACTGATTCTTGCAACCGTAGCAAGTAATCAACCGTGCAGTTGATTAGATTCACACTAGTTGTGTGTCCAGGTTGAGTGCGAAGATAATTTTGAAAATCTATCAAAATAAATAAGTTGATACAAAACTAAAACAAAAAATAAATCAAGTCTATGGATAATTTTATAAAATCACCGGAATTATGCCCTTCACATGTCAACTGCAGGAATCGGAAAAGGCTGCAGGTAAATTCTGAATCATTGAGATTCTGATTATCTCCTGCAGCCAACTGAGCTCCCATACCCAAACCTTCTGCCTGCAAATGACTCAAATTTGTTATTTTAATGAAAGTTTAAAAAATATCATAAGACATGGTGAAAAAATAAGAAGAAACCTTAATTTGTCGCTCAAACATTTCAAGATTTAACACGCTACATTTATTCATCAAGCCTGCTAATGAGGTGAAAAAACGAACATCCTTCTTCAGTTGTAAGTAGTCAATCAGCATCTATAACAAATGTATCACAAATATAGAAATCTGACGAAAATGAAGTACAGGGTGCAGACTTGATTCAATAGATTATTCAGATGAACAAGCAAAACTTTTGGCTTTAATTTATAAGTTAAGTAGTAATTTGATATTACAATCAGTGCATATAAATAATTATTTTAGCAATTCTTGAGTAACTCTGACATTCTTAACTATAGTTAGCATCAATACAGCTATCATCAGCAATTTCTCTCTGGCTGCTGATAATTGAAGAGAAACTGCAATAAATTTCCGTGCTTTGAGCAGTTAATATTGAAACTGACGCTTACCACTTTTAGTGACAGAAACCAAAGTAAGATGTGATCGTATATAATTAAAGGAGGTACTTTAGTGGCAACAAGTGAGAGCTATTTAAAACGCATAAATTTCGACAAAAAAAAATTATCAAGTATTTGTTTTGATTGCTGTTTCAAGTTACTAGCAAATGTGGACGAAGTAAAGAGTAACCTTCTGAATGTCACTATTTCCACCACTAAGGAGATGGATTCCGAGTTGTAACGCTTCTGCAACCATATCACTTGGTTCTCCGTTGCTTGCTGAGAGATACATCAAGCACATTATGGCTGCTCCTCGATCGGCCAGAACAGCTTGTTCTGCTCGCAGTGCCTGCGAAATTTCTTCTTTCTGCTGCAAAATCCATTATTCACTTCAATCGCGCGAACAATTATGCAACAATACCAATTTATCAGTAGTTATGAATGAAAATGAGTTATTATCAGAATAGCATACATACACACTGTTACTGTGCTTGTATTGATGCTATTATACTCTTATCATTATCGACTGCTAATAATTATTAGAAGCAAATGAAAGGATAAGTAAAAGACTAACTGCTTGGTCAACTTCTCCTTCATCTTCTCCGCCTTCCTCTTCTTCTTCAATGTGTATTGACTTTGACATTACTTGCGCAAAGTTCACAAAAAGTGAATCATTAGCTATGGATATTGTCTGGCTTTGCTCACTTGTAGCAGCACGTTGGAAGCACTGAATTAGCTGTCTCAGCGGATCAGGCGGTAACTGATATCTTAATCAAAAATCAGTCAGCAATCAGTTAGAAATGAACAGATTTGTCTGCATTCACTTTAATAATTTTCATAAGCAATACTGCAAGTTTTAAGAGAGTATGCTAGTCTCATTATAACTCGTAGTCTCTGTTGTATTTAATTAGATTAATAATATATTTGATAATATAACTGATCTCTCTTATACTTAGTTTTATAAATGAAATTTTCATCGTTTATCCCTCTAAAAACATGTACAGGAGCTAATTTTCAGCACACAAAAAAATATTATAATAATAAACAAACTTTTCTTCCTTTTCATCAGTCAGAAGTTCGTCATCTGCTGACTTGATGTGTATCTGTTCATTTCCTTCATCTCCACTCTGCAATAATTTGACTACATTAAATATAATATCATCTATTAGTTTGATCATAAAATTGATTATATGTGACAAGTCAAATGTTATAACTCTAAACTAAACGGCAATAGTATTCTCGATGATAAGCTAAAACAATAACGTCTCTAATTAGCTAATTAAAGTTAGCAATGAATCATTCATCAACACTTTTGTTTACTATTAAGTTTGATCTTCATTTCCATCTTCGAAGAAGCATAGTTAAATGATAAATTTGAATCTGCTTCTTCCAATAATTTAAATATTTAAACGATAAGCAGCTATTCAAATGATAATTTGCATCACCGTCAGTTCTCTGATGAGAGCATCCTGTCCAACGTCTTCTTCTTCTAGCCAAAGTTTACTGAATGCCGGCAAGAAGAAATTTATGGCTCGATGTCTGCAAATTTATAGGATTTTTAACAAAATAGACACTGAGAAAATATTTTTTGCAATAAATAAGAGATTGAATTTTTTCATTTTCAATATTTATGCCAAATTTTTTGATTTCTTTCAGTGCAAATTTAAAAAAAATGAAATGCATACATATTATTTTCTGCAAATGAATTTATCCATTTGAAATGATTGTCTGTTTTTTATTCAGCAAAGGATTTTAGAGAAGTAAATGGATGTTTGTTTTCAGAGAATGTAACTGATAATAAAGTAAAGCTGCTGATTAGAACACAACACTGCAAATAATTATCACTGCATGCATAACAAGTTGAGTGATGAATAGATTAGAAATGTGCAAGAAAAAGTAGTAACAAAAAAGAAAGGATAATTAATTATTTAATACAATTTTTGTTACAAAGGCAATTATTGTCGCTACGGTATAATAGATTTCACTTGCCTTTTCCACGGAAAATACCTTGTTGTTAACAAGGAAACTGACTGAACTAGTCATTTGTACTATTCATCAAGACAGATTTTTGTTTTGTATTTTGTCAAATTAGTCGTCTCATAATGATCACTAATTAATATTCAAAGAATATGAAAATTCGTGGAACATTACTTTGTTTATGAATAATTACGAAGTCATGATTACGAATTATGAGTAATAATCACGAATAATGATTACAATTGAATTCAATATTGATCCCAAAGTAATGATTACGAATTTTGACAACACAGAAAAATAAAATGTGAACACTTTCAAAAAATATTTGTTAAAAAATGAATATTATAAGAAATTAAATTTAAAAAAGTAGCAGTGATCAATATTAGATTAAATCTTTTCTACTAAATTGGACAATATTTCATTTTTTGAATAATAATAGAATGAAATCGTTTTTGTCAGTACTTTTTCAAAGAAAATATTCAGTTGTTTTAGACATTTTTACGTGATCGGATGCACAAATTAACTAATTAGGTGTGGTTTGAAAAAAGCATCGCTTACGTGTCTACTCGATACAGATGACTTGCCGTAATCAGACTGATCGCCATACGTTTGCGTTGCAGTGTTAAAATCCGTTTCCATCGATCTTCTTTTTCAAGTTTACTGGTCACCTGTGGAAAAGAACTGCATATTCAGCACAACAACAACTTGCACTACTTTTAATTAAAAGCTAAACTACGATAAGAAAGTATTCTAAGCAGAAACAATCAATTTCATTCAATTGGTTTTCTGTTTTCAGAAGAATGACTTAAAATTTTCATAGATAGAACGAATACGAGTTGCGTGGGCAAAATCTTGGCAAAAGTAAACATATTTTACAGGAAAGCAAGCAATCATTCTACTTTCAATCCATCCAACAGTTTATTGATATTAAACTGATAAATTAATCCTTTATCCGGCAAATTCACTTGTAGTTCCATGTAGCTTATTGATTTTCGACCACGATAGTAAGCAAAATTTATCACTACCACGCGTTATTCAAAGCACATTTAGAATCTCATGCATCAAGCGAAATGAATAAATTATTTAAGCGTGAGTGATGAACTGAAAAAATATTGAAAAGCGGAATAAAAGGCAAACGATGAATGCAGCAAGAGATTTTGAACATTTTCTTGTTCTCGCTACTTGAGCGAACAGATTTTCAAGTAAATACAAACATTTACTCACGTATGCTTTACTTGTTTCAGCTTTGTTAAGTAATCTCAGACTTGAATTGCAAGACGCGTCAAATAGAGATTTTATGATGAAGGCGAGCAATATGTGCATTTTTATATGCACAGTAAATTTTTTAATTTTTGGATGAGTGCAGCTCACGTAATACCTTGGAATGCCATAGAGTGGTACCATTCTGAAACAGGCCACCACGGCTCTCTTTCGTTGATTTGATATCATTGTTTTCCACGCATTAGCCATTGAAGTTTGTGGATGTTCCGTCTAAAATCAACACACAACATGGACTAACATCAGCTATGAATGAACCTGAATACTACTTGGAATAGTTGACATATTTTAGGTACAAAAACGTTGAAGCAATAACAGTACTTGCACAGTCTTGATTCTATCATTCACGAGCACGTGCTAGCTTATTTCTTATTAAATAATTAGCCAAAGTACGATTTATTTGCCAAAAATTTCAAGCTTAGTGGAAGAATAATTTTATAGAAAGCAAAATTTTTACGTTAAGTGAAAATTAAAAGCTCTAACATTCATTCTTAAAAAGTGAATTTTAGAGTTTTTGAAGTAAACAATTTCAAGTGCCACACTTTAAGTTCTGAAGTTATTAAGTGCTAAAAATTGACAGAAGAAAATTAGTAAGACTTTCACAAAATTTTCAAATGCCAAAGTAGACCAAACTTCATACTAATTAATAATTGAAATTATTGAAAGGCAAAATTCAGTTGCGACATTTTGTGCAACAAATTTCAATTTTGAAGTACAGAAGAAAGACAGTGAGGAAATTCCCAAGAAAACAATAGCACTGTGATCGTTTTTAAAATGATTATATATTTGATTCAGAAACATGAAGAATGCGAAATTGTCAAATGTGTCATTATGTACTTGAAATTATTTACTTCAAAAAGTCTAAAATTCACTCTCTCATTGCGAGGCACATCCCAGTCCAGCTGCTCTGAAAGGAGATATGCTAAACACTAAATCACTTTTGAATTAGGCCATATTACGTGCTTTTCTAGCGAGAGATTCTATTCAAATTTTATTTCACGCGTGCTGTTCATCCATTTTTATAAATTGAACTTTGTTTTTTTACATGAAGTGAAACTGAAATAACTTCTCTGTGTTATGATACAAGTGGATATCAAATTCATCCATCTTTCAGTGTTCTACATGACTTGTACTGATGCTTTTATTTCAGTCTTTTTATTAGACAATAAATAATCCTTCTTTGTCTTGAATCAAGCGAAAAGTTACTTCTCAACAAAAGTGACTGTACTCATTACTCTCAATGACAGATGATAGTTTCTTCTACTAACACTTATTTACGTGGAATAATAATCAAAAATGCTCATTTCTAGTAAACAACGCTGTTTGACATCTTCTCGCTATTGCCATTAATAGTAAGCAGTATATAAAAAGAGAGATATGAAACGACGAAATTGTATAAATAGTAAGCGAGGGATTCAGTCATGCGCATCTACTCTTTGAATAACTGATATTTTCTATTTTAAGAAAAAATGCAATAAAAAGCAAAAGGCCTACATTGGTAGTGTTATAGAAGAGCGGTTAGTAAATAGAAGATATAAAGCCGTGAACTGTATGATCTGAAAAAGTTTGTCAAGTCTGACATCAGTGAAGGGAACTTACTCTTTTTTTCCCTCGGCGAGTTCTTACTTTATTAAGACGTAATTCCTATAAAGATATCAGTGTCAGGCACAAAAACTCGCAACAATAATCATTTTTGTTAATATATTCCATTAGGACTAGAAGTCAGAAACTCAGCCATTTCGTGTGAATCTAAACGAAATTTTACGAAAAGGCAAATAAAATAATTAAACAAACACATAGCTCAATACAACTCTGTGTCTCCTTGAAACTGATGAAAACTGATTATTCATAGTGAATTAGAAACAATTTTTAGGGCAAAACTGTGCACAGAACACTATCAATTCAACTGAATGATCTGCTCACTTGTAGAGCATTTTTTAGAAATGGATTGACCTTTGACATGTTAAGAAAACCGTTCTTACTGAAAGCAAAATGTGACCTAACATAGAGTATAACTAATATATTACTGGTAATGAGAACACAAAGTGCAATCCTTCAAAAACAATTTAGTAGACAACATTCAAACTTCCGTATTAATTGTGAGATTAATCATTCACAGTTTATTAATATGATCAAACGACACTTTAACTTGTTAATATAAATATCCGTGAGTTTAGACTGACTTGCTAATACTATGAGGCATAAGTGATGCTCACAGACTTCTTCAATAGTTTTTTGATGAATTTGTGATCGAGACACTTTAACAGCAAAAACTGATCTAAATGATAAAATCTAGCTAATAGCTAAATCTTGAAAACATTTTTGCAGTACTTATGGTCAGATACTTGATAAAGTTGTTTAACAATGATTTTTGACCTTTTATAGCTATAATATTTCAAAAAACTCAACAAGAACTTCTCACAACAAGATCATAAAAATCACAGAAATTCTAAGCAAACAAATATAGGAGATGTCTGGAGATTTCAAATAATCATTATATAATGCCATTCTGAAGTCAAATGATCTTAGTAGCATCACTTTTGCTCACAATTCAGGAATGCAGTAATTTATAAATACCTGAAGGTTTTCTTAGTTTACTTCAGACTTACTAACTTCTTTTACTTAATGAAAAGTATATTTCGTTGAGTTTAAAAAATAAGACGGACTTACCACATGAAGAATAGCTACTACTTGACCCATATTCGTAATTTTTTCTACCACTCCATCTTGGGTCATCATATCTTTGCCACGCATTTGTGACTTGCCAATTTTACGGTAGAGGTTTAACTGCCATGCATTTTTATCCGTAGGATCTGTCTTAAATTATTTAATATTGTAATCTCATAATTTTTGAGTTATATCAAAATCTATTTAAAGAAATTTATACTGAAAGTGAGTTGGTGATACTAAATTGTAATTTAAACATACCTTCGCTGGAATATCAAGCAAGGAGCGCACAAATTCCCGTATTTTATCTTCAGGCTCCTTTGCTAGAAACTTTTCTTTGGCATGCTGCACAATGTCTAATTCACGACCTCCAAATACATTTAACCCCACAGGCAATAGACGTTTCAAACACGCTATTACGATTGAATTTGCATGCTTATCTTTGCGCGCCTGAAATCGATTCCATAGTTGTCTTACAAAGCAGTTCTTTCATAGACAAGTTGAAAAATTCGCTGAAATAATTTACCTGCCCTTCTCGTCGTTTCTTCTTGCGTTCAGCAATTGCAGCTTTACCAGTTTTTACTTCGCCTGCCCCACCTGCCACAGATTCATCCTCGTACTGAGCCATAAAGTTTAGCTCTTCCCGTTTAAAATGCTGCGACAAAGACCAAATCTAAACTTTCCGTAGTGAATTTTTGCTTATTTTCATCACGAATGATAGTTTTCTAGCATCAATCTTTGTGTTCGTAACGGACTTTGTCAGTTTTTTCCGCACTTTTTCTTGAATTCGACAATACCATCATTTGAGAATCTTTTCATTATACGAAGAGTGAATGAAATTAAAACGTGATGAAAGAATTTTTGTGCTACATTTGAATATACTCAGAAGTAAGACTTGTAAGTGATTTACAATATTCGCTTACTTTAAATATAACAGCGATATTCTCGTAAATACCATCTGTCTCCCACGTTGGTGTTTTTAACCACTGAGCTCGATGCATATCAGTATATTTCATTAAAATTGGAAAATATGCGTAAACGTCACGTACGAGAAGTGCGTTATCCTTAAAAAAATACGCAACTATTAACAAAAAATGCTCTAGCAATTACTGACACATTATATTATGTCATTGTTTGAGCAATGCTCCGTTTATAATATCATATCCAATAAAATAAGCAAATTTTCATTGCACTAGCAACGAAAGGAAATTCAGAAACTTTGCAAAATCATAGAATTTATTACTTCAGCAACTGTGCCTTCATCTGCGTCATCAGGATGTGTTCGCATGTGTTCTTCGTCTTTGTATGCTTTTTCAGATAAACGTTTCAGACGTTCAGCAATTGGAAGCATATAATCTTTGACAAGGTCACAGTTTACGTAAGGAATAATTTGGACGGAATAAGAGTGAATACGACAGAGCCAAGAACCACTATCGATACCAATGTGGTTGTGAAGCATCTGAAGGAGTGCACAGAAGATTCGATTGATATGTATGCTGCAGACATTTGTCACTGGCACTCTGAAACCGAATATCACCTAGTTTAAATCTTTGCAATATCACTATCAATGAGAATTTAAATCAAAAACTTGAATGTGCG